TGAGTTTCTTCAGTAGCAGGTGCGTCAGTTTGACGCACTGAAAGAGATCGCGCATCTTCTGCTGTCCGTCTTTCAAGTGCTGCAGACATTGCTGGAAGAGAAATTCATCGTTTTCGAACAAGTCACGCACTTGCTTGGCCGAGCCTTGCTCAATCAATTCTTCGCAATAACTGTTACGAGTTTAGTATAGCGAATCATGATGATGAGCAACTGACTTACAATCGGAAAGAAGGAAGATTCCGGATCGCCTCGCACACAAGACCCTGTCGCATGCTCGGAACCACCTCGTCTGCAAGGAGCACCGCCAACGGGTTTGCGAAGAAATGTGACATGTACGCGTACTAGAGGTGTAAGCTAAATGGGTTGACACACGATCAGATTGAACATACCTTAACCGTTCGACTGAAGGCCTCCGGCGTCTGGAAGGAATCATTGGATTTCTCGAACAAAACATTCGTGATGTTCCTCCCCAGCCATATCTTCCCATCCTGCTCTGCTTGTAACCTCCCATAGATGCGGTCAACGCAGTTGCTCGCTTCATGTATTTCGAAATATCTACCCCGTAACAAGGCGACAGTTGACCGCGGCAATCTCCCCTCAAAGAGTTCCACGGACGTCGAGATGCCGAACAAGAGTGTGAATGGTATCCGATCAAGCCAGGAGCTGGACAATCAGCCGAAGTGCCACCCAAATTCAGGGATGGACTCACCTTAGTAGAGACAAGAGATCCGTAAGGATGCCCGGATCGAAGGCTTCACTGTCTCGAAATGCAAGAACCAACTTCTTTATGCCTTTCCGCTTCACATAGTCGCCTAGCAAGTCAAGATCGTAACCGAGGAGTCTAGGGCCCTGTATTGGCATTTAGCGCATGCCCTGTTGTGTTGTTGGTCTGTACATAGTTCACCTCTCGGTCTGTAAGGGAAGATTGATAACCATCGTTCCCCTCCGTGTTCGTGATAGCAAATCGGATGATGTTCTTGAGGGTCGTTTTGAGGTTAGGCGCATCACCGGATTCCAGCACAATAGCTCCACCGTCTCCGGCAGTGGTGAATTGATCGTTGAGTCTGGCCAGCAGGCGAGCCAGCGATGAGACATTGGAACCCACGGTCACTAATGCCGCTGGGATACAGCCATCGTACCTGCAATTGTCAGGACGTGCAGTCAATCCTTGGGAGCGAATATGCGCGCTTACGTTTGAGGAGAAGTCGAGCGGACAAAGGACGAAACATTGGAAAGGACCTCGGAGTCGACATCATCTAGAATTTCCTAGCCCAGATATTAGTCTTGTACCACTATAATCTCTTCCAACTATACATCACTGACCTGAATTTTTGCCTCCTGGGTTGACCATAGTTGCTGGTATGTTTTATACCGCGCTTCGACGGACTGCTCGTCCTCCTCGCCGTTAAGGAGTGGTACGAAGGGATGTGCTTTCAATCCTTCTTTTTCTTCTTCCTTCTTCGGAGCTACCTTGCGGCGTTTCGAGGGACGTTCACCTGAGGATTTGCTTTGGTCGGCGGGCGTGTAGATATACACACCCTTGGGTCCGTTAGTACGGGTTCGCGACAAGGGCATTAAGGAAACGGTACCTGACTGTTGGTGCCATCTTTGGGCGCATTGGCTGCCTCCACCTCTAACGAGCCGAGATCCATGGTGAGCAGCGTCTAGCACAAGGAACAAGGAAGCTTATCGAGAGGAACAGCTTGCGGGCTAGAAAGAAGCATGGGACGAGTTGATTCATGGAGTGACTTTCTTTGCGGCGATCGAGCTCGCGGTGGCGCTAGTCCCGATTGGGGTGAAATGGTTTTCCGCCGCGGAGCTGCCATTCTTGTTCTATTCTTTCTTCTCCATCATCTTCCTGCAATCCTCGCTTTCGTGTGCTCTCTTACAGCTGTCGGTCGGTGTTATTTTGCATATTTATACAACCTTGTTCCATGATTTAATCGCTCATACTTGATGCTCCGCCAGGCTGTCCGAGGAGCTCGTTGGTATCAGCATGTGGCCCGCGGAAGTCCGTTCTTCCCGCGAGCATTCGCCGCTGTAGCGCCACGCTCCATACACTATGACGGTCCCAAAGACAAGATCAACTTCTACGAGCAGGATACTCGTAAGAGTAAGACACGGCGGAAGGTCGATCCGGAAGCAGAGGGACGCGCCGAGCAGGAAGACGCCGAGAAGGAACTCGCCCGCCTGACCCAGGAGCTGGAAGCGCTGAAGGAAGGCCCGTTTGGTCCCAACAGTCAATTCATTCGAGAATTACCCGAAGAGGATAGGGCTATTGCGCTGGAAGCACTCCGGAAATATGAGGAGGATGAGGCGGCTGGGGCGGCTGGGGCGGCTGGGGCGGCCGATGTCAGTATTAAGGATCTCTACGAGAAGGAGCTCGACGGTCTCTTGAAGAACGAATTCGAAAGCCTGGTCAAGGAAGAGGAGAACTGGCAGTCTGACGAGGAGGATGATTCGCGTACACTGGTTGTACGGCGCCCATACGAAGTGGAATTGGAGAACTCAGACCTGCAGCCGTATGCCGACAAGTTGAACAAATGCCTTCGACGGATTGCGAGTGGCGACTCTAGCGTGCGCTGGGAACAGGAACTGTGGAGGTGGTACCGCCGATGCAAGCAGGTTGTTCCAGGATTTGTGGAGTCCTTGTCAGAGGAGACGCTGACTCTTCTGTGGGATACTCTGGCTCTGAAAAAAACCACCAAGCCCCAGGAAACTGCACGGGTACGCACACTGGCTGAGGACGCGCTATCGGCTGGCCTCACCCTCTCCACGCCTCGTATTCTCACTTACATCGAAACACTCCATGAATGCGGGGATACTCAAGTGGCGTTGGAGAAATGGGAAGCATATCAGGCGGAGCTCAGCCAACGGAAAGAGGACCTGGAGGCATACTGGAAATTAGGAGTCCGGCTATTTGCAGCAGAAAACGATCCTCAACGAGCACAAGATATTGCGCTGGCCTTCTTAGCAAACGACAAGTCACGCCAACCACGCATTCTGATCCCAGTCATCACAGCTTGGGGCAAGCGGACTGGGAAGGAAGCGGAAGTCAAAGCATGGGCGATGTACCTGCAGCTCAAGGCATTCCTGGAACGGAAGATGACGATGGACGACTATGACCAAGTCAGCATTGGCTTGCTCAAAGCCGGCCGGCCAAGCCTTGCCATCGCCGTATTCAAAGACATGATGGTAACCAACAGCGATCCCCGACACGACTCAACCTCTCTCTACAAGGCCGCCGTCGGCTTAGCAGGCAACCTGCAAGCGTCCAGCATCTCCGAACAAGACGTGAACAAGGTCTCCCTCTCTACCCTCACCGTCCTGCCACGGAAGTTCCAGAACCGCTTCTTCTACGCCAGCTGGATGAAGAAACTGATTGGCATGGGCGAGGTCGACTCCGCCGCCATGGTCATCGAGCTGATGTACGAACGTGGCGTCAAGCCAGATGCAAAGCACCTCAACGGTGTCATTGCCGCCTGGCTACGCGATGGCAGCAGCACGTCGCGCGAGAAAGCCGAACGCCTCGGATGGGCCATGGTCCAGCAGCGAATCGACCAAGTGTGGGCGCGCACCTCCACCGAGAAAGCCCCTCAACTCGACGTAAACCAAGAAAGCGCAGAGAATGTCCGACTGCCCGAATTTATGAAACGGCCCATGCCCGCCGCCACGATCGAGACCTTCTCCATCCTCCTCCTCCACTACACACGGCGCAGCGACGACGACATGATCAAATACCTCGTCAAATGTCTCGGCGACGGCCGCATCCACCCGAATTCCTACTTCATGAACCACCTCCTCTACGCCGAGCTCCGCAAACAAGACATCGGCTCCCTCTGGAACAAATACCAATCCCTATCCGCCATCACACAACCCGACCTCGAAACCTACGCCTGCCTCTGGGACTGCGGCAAGCTACAATACGACCGCGGCCGAACCGCCTATGTAACCGACTTTCCCTCCGCGCGACATCTCTTCTCCGACATGATCCGCTGGTTCACCAACCTCTCTGCGCGCGCACAAACCGCCACCCGCGACGAATTTTCCAAGGAACTTTACGACCAAATCATCCGCTGCTTCTGTCTCTCCAAAGACCTCCCCGGCACGCTCATTGCCCTGTACACCATGCGCGCACACTTTGGCTTTTTCCCCGACGACACCACAGCCCGCTTGATCGTGCTACAGGTCGCCCGGTTAGCAGGTGTCCCGGCCGAGACGCCCAAGCGCCGACTCCGGCGGTTGTCCAGCACACCGAAGAGCAAGGAGAATATCAGCCACGTTAACCGGCTCGTAGATATCCTCAGTGATCGGAAGCTCGGGGCGCTCGCGGCCCGCGGTCTGGAACTGAGTGATCTCGAGCAGCACGAGCGCGAGCAGTATCAGTTGGAGGTCATGACGGAGTTGTTGCGCGTAGTGATGGGTCGGCGGGCGGCTGGAGGACAGGGTCACAGTGCGGTGGAAGAGGAGATTGCGAAGGTTGCTGAGGAGATGGGGGTTACGGGTGTGGATTTGGGGGTATCGCTGGGGGATGATTTGTTGTTGTAGGGGGTGAGGTGTTTATGAGCATGGTTGGCGTTTGGCTATGTCTTTTGTGTGGGTGTATATATAAAATGGTGAATCTGGGGGTATACATGTAATATATTATAGTATCATGATAGAATCGGATGTCCTCTCTTCAATTTGGCTTCGATCATTTTATTTTCAATTGTCGGTATCATTACTGCTACCATCATATATCGTACGCCGTTTGTATACGTCGGTATCATGAACTGACAGGATTGCCACCAACACAGTGGCACTTGATATCCCTCCCATCATGATTTCACGATACACTCCACCATACTGATACTGCTCGGCAACAGCTACAGCCATCCAATCTACTTAGTAGATGCTGGTATCACCAGTACCAGAAATAGATAAGGATATATATTGTGATCATAATACACCGCACCCATATAACCTAATTCAAACCTAGCAAAAAAAGATGAAGATCAAATCTATTTCTTCGCAGCATTCTGCTCATCCGCCTCCACCAACACCGCATCATCATCACTCCCCGCCACCGAAGGCGGCGCACCAGACGACTCAGGCGTCTTAGTAGCAGGCGTAGGAACACCAGAACCCTCCTCACTAGTAGTCGTGGACGCAGCAGCAGTAGCAGCAGCAGCAGCCTTCTTCTCACCGGCCTCCTCTACCACCTCCTCCTTCTTCTCCGCCTCGACATCCAACTCCTTCATGTACCCCTCCTTCCTCTTCTCCCACCACTGCTTCTCCTCCTCCAACTTGGCCTGCTGCTTCTCCATGCGTTCCCGGAAAATAGCATTATTCAGCATTTCATTGGCCGACTGGAAGATCGTTTGGCCCCAGCCGGGGACGTAGGCGTTTGCCTGTTTCATTCCCCCAGTTAGTATATTAAAACTTCCACAGCAGGGATCAATAAAAAGGGAGGGGATGGTCTTACCTCAGCAACAACATCCCTAACCTCATCCTCCATTTCCTTCTCAGCACGGAGAAACCGCTGCCACAGATCATCACCGACACTACCGCGCTGGAGGAGCATAGCGAGCGCGCCCTTTTGTGTGCGCAGGGCCATGACGCGTTTAATGTCTTCGATGGCGCGACGCAGAAGAGCGGATTTCAGGACGCTGTCGGGCACGGAAGAGGGAAGTTTCTTGCCGTTGGGGTTCTTGCTGGCGTCATTGCTGGCGGAGGGGTCGAGGTGTAGTAGGGAGAAGTAGATGTCGCGTTGTGTGTGTGGAGGGAACCAGGGTTCCAGGGAGAGGGACTTGCCTGGTTTTGGGGTATTTGGTTAGTTAAGAGGTCTGGGAAAAGGGCTGGTAGAAGGGGGAAGGGGAAGGACGTACGGGCTTTGCGCTTGCGGTAGAGGGAGGAGAAGGTTGCGAGGGAGCCGAGGAGGACGCCGAGGTAGGCGAAGGGGACGGCGAGGGTGAGCCAGTTGACCATTTTGGTTTATTGTTGTGGTTTCTGTGTGTGGTGTTGGTGTGGTGTTGTTTGGTATGTGGTGAGCGTAGGTTGGGTTGGGCGGTGATGTTGGTTGGTTGGTTGTTATGGTGTGTTTGTTAGACAGATGTCATAGTAGGGACAGAAGTCTTGATGTATATGCTCGCGACAGATGCAATGAACGAATGAATGGACTTGCAGTTGTCAATTAATTGGCTGCAAGGATCAACCCAGCCGGGGGTGAGAGGTGTAAATGGGTGAAGGTGGTTGTGGTGGGCGGAAGATTGCGGCGGAGCAGCGGAGATGGAAGAAGAAAGCGAGGATCGACGAAAGGCCAGCCTGGTGTCTTGGCCCGTCACATGCCACCGCCTAGTAGCCATTTACTCTTACTTTTTCACTATACTCCAGAATCAACATAGCAGTTACTCTTACTGCACAGATAGTATAACCATCGTAGATGTATTCCCCAGTCTATCTACAAGAATACAGCCTTTTCCAGCTAATTCAACACGTCGGCAACAATATGCTGCACGCCCAGATACATGCAAGATCCAAACAAATGACCGCCCATAAATCAGTACCAGTAGCAAAAAGCGCAACGCAGAGCAAGCAACACAACAAACAAAATTCAAGACAAGCAGGTATAAACATACGATACAATCCATGTCGCTTCAAAGAGGTATAAAGGTAAAGGGGGTATGATGGTATCCCACAAAGCAATCACACATGAAAACGCTCCTCCATCTACAGCGGATACAGCTGCTCCTTCGTCTTCTGGCTGATCGGCCCAATCTCCTGCATTGCCTGCATGTCCTCCAGCACTTCGTTGAATGTGTCCTGGATCCCCGCTGCCACCTTGCTCCGATTCCATTCTCCCCGCGTCTGCCACAGGTAGTCCATCAGGTTTGTGTTGATCTGCTCTAGCTGCTCCACGCTGCAGCCGCTCGTCCGCTGCGTGAGCTGCTCGTGCAGCTTCTGCACGTATTCCAGGTCCAGCGTTATTTTCGGCGACAGGTCCTCATTGTTCAGCAGCGACTGCATTCCCGCCGGCACATGCGCTGCCGGCTTGGTTGGGTGGTCGAACAGGGGTACCGGCGGCTGAGCCCGTGGCTGCGAGTGCGCCGGGCCATTTTCCAGCGGCGCCATATCGGCAGCCGGTCGGGGCGACGGCTGGCTGCTGTCTCCCTGTTGCGTATCCGGAAGATGTTCCTCCTGCGATACCCGGTCCGGGTACTGCGTGAGATCGGGAAAATCATGTCGCATCCCTTGAGTGGCTACCGGACTCTGCGTGTACGGATTTGGCACCGAGGACTGCTCAGACGACTTCTTGTCCGACGTCGTCTGTGTCGTCGATGCCTCGTTAGTGTACTCGTGAGGCTGGGATCCGGGCGCCATGGGCGTCATGGGGCCCTTCTGCGAGAAGCTTGAAATCCCCGACTCCCGGCGCACCTGCTGCGATGGTGCTGTGTGTGAATAGGGAGGTTTGGGCTGCGCTGACGGACCAAACGAACTCGTCTGTGTTTCCTTTTCGGCAGAGTGATCCGAGTTGGTCATGTAAGTATCACCATCACCATCCGGGCGGTCCTCATGCGAGCCGTTACTGGTGAGCGCATGCGTACTGAGGTCGTTCAGGTCCGATCCGCCCCCGGTATGGTAGCCATTAGTGATGAAGCTCACTGTCGATCGACGGGTAGGGGTCACCGGTCGGGCCGTCTCCTTCGGACCAAGATCCGGGAACGTCTCACCTAGGACCACCGGCCCGCTGGATGGGCCCGACTCTGTGTTGCCGTGCGGGACTCGGTTTACCGCCGCGCGACCGATCAGGCCTGCCTCCTCTTCTTCCGCCGCCTTGCGCGCCTTTTCGATGGCAAGTTTCTCTCTCTCAAGTTCTCGCACGTAGACCCCTTCGCATTCCGTCACCAGAGCGGGCTCGGTTTGCTCGATGGTAGCAATATCCACCTCGACATTAGACAACAGCTCATTAGCGCGCAGCAGTCTTTCCTGCTCCCCTAGCTGCCGGGCGTCCTTAGCTAGCCTCTTAATGTCTGCCAAGAAGTCCTTGGGCCGCTTGTAGTACCCGTTGGAGAGCCGCTTCTCGATGGTGACTATCTCGAGGTTGTAAAAGAACTTGCCCGACACGGCCTCGCGCAGCCCAGGCACTCCATTCTTGTCGAATGCCTTCTCAAACGGCCGGAAGGTGGTGCGCTGTTCAATCGGCAAATCACTTGTCACGATGTTTGGATCTTCTTCCTCCCAAAGGTAGCGGATCTGAGATTCATCGATCACGCCAGTGCGGAACCGCTTGTACTTCTTGATTTGATCCATAATAGGCTGGATGCGGATCTTAAGGAGGTTGAGAGTTTGGTGGTCTTTCTTTTTCTGCGCCTTGAGCTGCTCCTTGGAGAGGGGCGTTGCTGGCTTAGGGGGCGGCGGGGGCGCAACTTCCAATGTCTCCAGCTCCCTCTTCTTCCGATTCTCCGGGTCGGGAAGGTGTGCAGGTGATGCCTTGACGTAGTCAATCACTTTAGTAAAGTATTCGTAGCGTGCCTCGCTACCTGGCGCTCGGAGATCGTAAAAGTTCTTCTTTGAATACCCGAACAAGTTCCGCAGCACACCGTTGTCCATATCCTCACCTGCCGACTCCTGAACGCCTAATAGCAGCACAGGATCGGTCGGAGGGACTGACCGCAATAAACCCAGGAACGTAGACATCACGGCCGGGCCGACGGTATCAGTCCAAGCCTGGATGTTTGGAATGTAGATTACACTCGGCTTGTGCCTTTTGACTTCGGCGAAAAGCTGGATGACGGCAGCCTCCGGTGACCGAGTCGAGTCGCTGAGGAGGGTAGGGAGATCGAACGCTTGAACATGGAGCCCCTCGAAATGGTGCAAAAGGGCGCCGGCCAGATACTGCTGGCCCATTCCTAGCGGCCCGCGGAGCAGCATGCGAGGACGGAACACCCGGGACCGATCGAATTCCTGCTGCATTTGTTCACGCTGGAAGCTTCCTGATCCTTCCGGTTCCTCAAACTGCGCCTCTTCTAGCGCTGTAAGTCTCTTTTGCTGCGGCAAGATCAAAGACAATAAACTCTTGATCTCTGTGAGAGGCGTGCGCAGCAAAGGCTCGACCGAGGGCGGCAGAGGTGAGGCACCCGACGAGGTTGATCGCTCCGACGACGGGACCATCTTCTTAATCGCCAACATGAAATCCTTGGGGGTCACTTCAATGGTCTTCGGGTCGATGAGTAGCTTCTGGTTAGACTTGTAGATTTGGGGGTATCGTCGTTGCACTGCATTGAGGGCTGCCTCTGTGCAGAGGGCACGAAGATCAGCACCACCATAGCCCTTGGTGATCTCCGCCAGCTCATCCTTAATGGGGCCAGGCAGCGGTGGATCCCAGCCCTTGGTGTGGATGTCCAGGATAGAACGTCGGCCATCCTTGTTGGGCAGAGGAAAGTAGAATTCGCGATCGAAACGACCAGGGCGTCGAAGTGCTGGGTCAATTGAGTCGGGACGGTTCGTGGCGCCAATGACGATGACTTGTCCACGTCCATCCATACCATCCATCAACGCCAGAAGAGTGGATACAATCGAGGCATGGATTTGTTCCTGCTTACTTGACCGTACAGGTGCCAGTCCTACAGCAGTTAGCTTTCAATACTCTCCCAACAGAAAGGGAGTTCACTTACCATCGATTTCGTCAAAGAAGATAATGCTAGGCTGTGTCTTTCGAGCCTCTTCGAAGAGCAACCGAAGTTGTCGCTCCGCCTCACCCACCCATTTACTTAACGCGTCGGCACCCTTGCGCATGTAGAAGGTCACCTTGCGGCCATTTGAGCTGACACTGTTCGCCAATGCTCGGGCGAGCAACGTCTTACCAGTTCCGGGGGGTCCATGGAAAAGCACACCTCGCGGAGGTACGATGTGGAAGCGTTGGAAGATCTCTGGGTATAGTAGCGGCAGCGACACCATTTCCTTCAACTGGTCGATGTGTCCCTGCAAGCCACCAACACTGTCGAAGTTGACGCTCATGTCCACACCCAACGGGTCAGCATCAGCCAGTGTCTGCTTGTCTTTGACTTTGCCGAGATTTGCAGGCGTCCCGGCGTGGCCCTGGGCTGCATCGGCGCTGTGAGTCTGCGTACCCAAGAGGCCGGCACCAGGCTGCGCAGGGCCCGAGATGGAACCCCCTGCACCACCCTTGGGATGCTGCATAACCTCGTCGTCACTGCTATCGCTGTCGACCCCACCCGTAGCAGCCGGTGCGCCCGGGGGCCCCAAGATGGCAGACGGCCCGCCGCCTCCGAATGGCCCATACGTGGGAAACAAGGTGCGCTGCCAACTGTTGCCGCCGCCTCCCCGGCCGCGGCGTGAAGGGGATTCATTGACTTCGTTCTCGGCCTCCTCGATGGGCAAGATCAGATCAGGCCGGATGATGCGGTAGTCAACATCCTTGCGACTGCGGCGAGGCTTCTCGTAAACAATCTCCTGTTGTACTCGCCGACGAGGACGACCGCCGCGAAGATCCTCCAATTCCTCTGCGAGCTCCTCTGCGATGTCAGCACCCACTTCGGACTGTCCCCGGGATCGGGAGGCGCGCTTGCGGAGACCCGGGCGACGGCCAGCGGTGCTGTCCTCATCCTCCTCATGGGCCTGACTTCCCTTGCGTGGTGAAGCTTGCGACTTCCCAGACTGTGAGATCTCGTCGTCGTCATTAGACTCTTCTTCCTCTGGCTCGAAATCACTCTCTTCGTCGTCTTGGCGTTTTCGTTGTGAACTTTTCGGCTTCTTTCGACTGGAACGGCGCGGGTGTGCAGCCTCGTCGTCCTCGGGCTGCTCGGCCTCGTCGTCTGCCTGCTGGCTGCGGTTGGGTCGATTTCTCCTTCGTGTCGTCGGGCCCTCATCCTCGTCGTCGTCGTCTTCCTCATCGTCGCCGCCGCCCGCCTTTGCATCGCCATTCTCAGACTCTGGAACGAACCCTTCATCATCTGCTGTGGTTGTCTCTTGTCCCTCGCCTGCTGCAGGCGGCATGCCGTCCTCGAAGCTGATCTGAACATCGCTTTCCATAATTTCGAGTTGAGAGCCTTTGACCTCCATGGTGGTCTCATCGACCATCTCTTCATCCTCCTGCTTCGGCTGCAAGTCCTCCTCCTCCTCATCGAGCACCGGGGCCCGCTTCGAGCCACGGGACCCCCGACGCCGCTCTAGCTCAGGGCTCCGTGTGGTTCCTCGTTCAACGGTCTCCATATGTCGTCCGGACGTCGTTAGGGCGTGGAAATCCTCCGATGGATCCCGCGTGCGCCGAGTGACCCGGCGGGGGCCCTGAAAGTTTTGTTTCAGAGCGTCGCCGACCTTCAGGGTGACCACCGTACTCTTGCGTTTCTGGGGCGAGGTTTTAGGGCGTTCGTCATCGTCCGTATCGTCGTCTTCGATGCTGCTGGATTCGGGTTCGTTGTAGAGGGGACGGTTCGTAGCGGCCCGGCGAGCGACTAAACCGCGAGCGTTGCGTTGAGCGTTGGTATCATCGTCCTCTTCTTCGGACTCGGCGAATGAAAGGTCCTCGGCCTCGTCGAAGATCTCGTCATCGGAGATAATGTCGTCGTCGGAATCGCGACGGGCCCTTTTCTTGACGGGCTTGGACTTCTTCTTGGATTTGGTTCGAGAGGCGGAGCGTCGAGATGAGCGCACGGGATGATCGCTGTAGTCGTCATCGTCCGAGTCGGACTTGTTGGCCAACTCCTCGATGGAGCGCTTAGCACGAGGCATGATGCCGCGCCAGACAGGGGATCTTTTGCGAATTGCCATGTTAGTAGGGTGAACAAGACGAGGAAGTGATGAATTAGCAAGCAGAGGATGGAAAGAATGACATAGAGAGTAGAGAAGATACAAGAAGCACGAGGGCGATGAAGCGTGGAGTTGAAGCCAGAGACGGGGAAGATGTCCCGCCGCGGCGATTAAACAGCGGAGAAGAATGACAGTGGCACTTACAGAGGCCAATGTAACAAGAAAGTGAATGGAGGAATGAAAAGGCCCGTTGCAAACCGACAGGAAAGGCTGGTAGAAGGGGAAGCAAAACTCGAATACACTCACACGGACAGACACACACAGAGCGAGCGATGGAGAGGTCTCTCACTCAACGAGCGACGATGATGGTAGATTCTCAGGCAAACCCACAATGGAAGCAGGTTTCAACGGCCATCAATTATTAATGGAGAGGGAAACAGAGGCCGTGAATATAACAACACGAGGGTAGGAGAGGGAGTGGGAGGGAAGAAAGGTAATAAAAAATAGAAGACGATGGCGAAGCGCAATGCGCCAAAAGCAAGAGGAGAGAGAGAAAGGCAGGGAAATGAAATGAACGGAGCGAGGCTCACGGACTGACCAACCGGAAGGGACGCGTCGCATGCAAGCTGCTCAGCACAGGGGGAGGGGAGGGGATTGGATCCCCGATAGAGAGGAGGGAAGAGAAAAAAAAAAGACAAATGAATGAATGAAGAAAGAAAAAACGAATCTCCAAAGTGGCCAAAGTGATGGATAAATCCACCGGGGGAAGAAGACGATGGATAGATCAAGAGACCGGAGATGCTCACAGCAGCAACAAGCAGTGGGAGAGAGACAAGAGAAGCAGCAGCTAAACTGCGCGGGCAATTCAGTGCCCGGTCACTGGCCTCAGGCCACCACCCACCCGTCCCCGAGTGGTTACTAACCAGCAACCAGTTCCTAAACTAGTCTAGCGTAGCCGCCAATCCATGACTGTGCGCACCACAAACCAAACAAGTATCAGCCCTTCCCATTCTTATCTTCGCTATTTCTCCCGTCCTGTTCCCCCCCGTTCCTTTCATAACAACATTCAACCCCCCTCCATACCCCAGAACAACAAACTCCCCAATTTCACCTCTATATAGACTTAATACACAAAACCAAAACTAAAATATCTCCTCAAACTAAACAATATCTTCTACAACCTTTCCAATCGTAACCAACCAAAAATCCAAAACCTTCTCCAAGATAAAACCATAAAAAACATAGTAGATCTTGAACCACATCTCAGCCCCATAATGTGCCTAGATAGTTAAAAAATAAAAATAGTAGCCCACGAAATTTTTCCCCACGAAGCTTATCGCCCTTAAACTCCTTGCCCCTCCCCGCGTGTTCTCGACTTTCGCCTCTCGCTTGATATCATGTGACTGTTTGGCCGAAGGCATCGCTGAGTCAGCACGGTCCGTCTCTCGCCGAAAGCAACTTTCAACTTGCCGAGATACATACATATCTACTACATAAACAAAAATCATATGTATTATCACTTCTATTCTATCTAATATCTTCCATTGAAATTCATGAAAATGCTCTCCCGCTCCTTCACCCCCTTCCTCCGCTCCCGGATCCCCATCACTCAGCGGGCCTCCCTGTCCACCTCTACTGCCAGATGGAGCCAGGACTCGTCATCATCCAGTGCTTATAGGGAAGGAGTAAGTATATCCATCCATCTTCTTATTTACCTCCCTCCCTACCTACCTGTCTCGCCATAAGTCAACTCAAAGCTAATCCATGCAACCAGATGGCCCGCTACAAGCTCTTCGTGAGTCCCTTTGCTAAGGTCTTCCTCGGTGCCATCTTCACCTATCAAGTCATCCACTGGACGTGGTTGAAGTTGGAGATGGATGAGTCTAAGGCGGAGAAGAATAGTAAGTGTCCTTTATCCTCTACCCAATTTTGGTTCTTTTGTTGTTATGAAAGTGAAGGACAGAATGTGGCTGACTGATCCCATGTAGAGGAGGTAGAGGCGCTGGAGAAGAAGGCTAAGGAATTGACCGGCGCGCAAAAATAAGCGGTCAACCGCCTCGTTCAATTGGTTTATTACTTGTGCCTTGGAGTGTATATATACCCTACTTATCTTATATTTATATTTATGTCTATGTGGAGTGCTTGTAGTACTGGTAATCTTGTTCTTGAATCTTGATTGTCGGTATGCGTGTCTTCGTTATATATATGTGTGTATCTTAACGCTTTGAAAAACAAAACAAATGATGTGACTGGACGTGGCTAAAGTTACATGCCCCCCTTATCTGTCATGAGGATCCTCCAACCATAGTAGGCTCATCAATACTGTAAAGATGGTGGAGCACCGCTTGATCCGTGCCAAGTTATTGCATCCCCTCGTGCGAGGCTAGGCCAACACAATAAGCCGAGCTGCCTTCGTGAGGCAACCGACTCGGCTGCATGATGTCGTCACCACGATAGAACGATCCCCATGAGGAATCGAGTCTTGACCGTTTGTCCAGACCCGCCATCTGTGCGGTATCTCTGTGAGGGTTCGTTGGAGACTGCAGCGCCGGAAATTTCCGCTTCCGCAAATTCGACGATTGAGGGTAAGAATTAGACTGATTGTGTTGCAACGAGTCGGTCTCGGGCGTCGGTTCCTCGTCGATCGCCATCAAGTCATCCTGCAGTGGCTCGTGCTCGGCAGCACATTCGCTGCTCACGGATTCGTCATCGCTGATTTCATCCATGGCCGGCTCACTCTCATACCCGTTACCGTCGGCCCGTTGTTTCTTGATCTCGTCCCGCTCTTGACTCTTGGTTAGATGTCCAGAGGGGAGGAGCCAGTCCTCCACGCGCTCGCCTTTCTTAAAATGCTCGACATCGATGTGGTTATATCGTTCGTTCCAGGCGCCCACTCCCTGTGTCTTCAGGGGTAGCAGGACCCGACAGAACCCGCACCAGTAGTGCGAGGGACGCGGATCACCATCACGGTTGATCCGATTGTTGCACAACGACGCCCGGACCTCGTCGTCATCGGTTTCGTGATGCTTCTTCAGGTGCTGGACGTATATCTCCTGGCGGTAGAATAGGCGCGCACACGGGAGACCCTCTTGCGTGGCATCGGGCAGGGTGCACCGCCAGCACTGCGCGTGGAAATGCTGGGAATTTTCGTGGCGCTTCCAATCGGCCTTGCTGCCGAAAGTCTTGTTGCACTTTGAGAAGGTGCATCCATATGGCCGTTCGTGGCGTTTCTTATGCTTCCTTTCAAAACCACTCAGTCAGCAAAGTCCCGGCTGGTATTAAAAGAAACACCAAGGCTCACTTACTTCATCTCACATCGCAGACGCGTCCGCTTCGTGCAAAATTCACATTGAATCCAGCCCTTCTTCTCACGGTCTTCTTCTGGAGTGGCTTGGGAAGGGGCGTGGCTGGAGCCAGACGGCCCTGACAGACGATCGAGGGCAGCGGACAAGATCCTTTGTAGCATATCGCGCTTGCGGTCCGACAGCTCCACATTCTGGTCGACAATTTCGTCCCCAGACTCGGATTGCTGGCTCCGTCTTCGCTCGTTGGTGTTCATGGCCTTTGTCATCGCATTGATCATGTTGACTGCAGCTTCATTGACCATGTCGTCCATCTTTCCGTTTCTGGCGGTGTCGAGCTGGGTGGGTAGGGGAACCTTTTGATCCAACGAAGATTCCAGATTGAGGGCTCTTAGAGCGGGCAGCTCGCTAGGGAGTGGCTTTGCAAGCGGCGGTTGGACCGATGCAGCGTCAGCGCTACGGTCGTTGTACTCTTCATTCATTCGCATGACGGTATCTGGTGTGAGGGTTTCAGGAGACGGAAATCCCCTATCAACGCTAACTGGTGAGGCCGAAGAGCCTTGAATTGTATCTTTCGCAAGGCTCTCGGACTGAGAGACTGGTTCGGCCTGTAGGGTTGGCGCTTCTTCCGACAGGGAATCAATGAAAGAGGACCCCAGCTCCTGCGGCTTCACGCAGGTTTCATACCACTCATGCGACCTAGATAACATGTTAATGTCTCCATCTTGTAGCTGATACGCAGAGTGTTTAAGTGACTTACCTCCGTAGCAGCTCCTCAACGTCCTCGTCACTGTGCATACGAGCAAGATGTTGACGGAAGTTGTCCAACCGGGGCCATTTCTTATTCCGGCGTGGGCAGTTATGTCCGAAGCACATGTAGAGGACTTTCGGCCCCCGCTCAGGCTCCTGCTTGTGAACACACTTCTTGTGACGAGCAAGGTCGTTGATGGTACCGAACCCCTCTTTGCGGGTGCAGTTCGGCTCGTCGCATTTGAAGAGCTTCTTGTGCCTGGCTTCGTGTTTCCTGTGACAGTCAGCTTCCTCGCCCTTTCACTGAAGCAAGCACCTAAGGGAACGCACCTCTTGTCGGAAGGACATTTGCCAGTCCATTGACAACCAGGGTAGTCACACTTGATCACGTCCTGGCACAACAAGGACGGAGAGTCCAACGCATCCATGGCGTCACCATATGGGGCGGTGTTGAGGTCGAGTGCGGATACTCTATCATCCTGCTCGTGGTCGAGAGGTGCCAGAAATGGGCTGCAGGCCGACTCGAGGGCGTATGATGCAGCCACAGAGCGGGTGGTGCAGCCCTGCGTACTATATCCGGAGTCGGACAGATGGATACCGGTATACTGACTGCCAGCCTCGGAGGGCGTGCTGTGATGTCCACTTGATGACCGGCGATCGAGGCCGTAGACTTGGTGCGAACGCGGGACAACGAACGCAGCGGGATAGATGGGCCCACCTGTCACTTGGAGCGGGTTCCACGCCTCTTGGTCGTTTCTCCATCGGGTCAGCGGAGGATAGGCGGAGGCATCGAATAGCTGGGGGAGGGGCGAGGATGATTGCTTGTGATACAGTGACCATGGTTGAAGAATGGATGGATGACTAGGATGAGGAATGGCTGGCTCGGATGCGAATTGGAAGCCCAAGAATGACGCCGGATCGCCCAGCGTGAGGTCGGACGGGGACAGCCCGTCGGATGAGAGGTCGACCTGCGAAGAACCTGACGTAGGCACTGCCCGAGTGCCCATGATTCCTTGTAGGATATCACTGGAGTTGTCCCAGGGCTTGCTGGGATCGGATGTCTGTGTCACCAAGAGTCAGCTCTGGCCCGTCTCTTAGCCGGCCAGGCATGTACATATATCCCGCCCGCCGGTGCATGACTGAATATCAGGGGGGATAAACAAAAAGAAAACTGCAACATACACTCATGATGTGTGTGATAATGGCAGGATGAAGCAGATCCCACAGGAGTAAGCTCACCCGCTTTCTCGGTGTGTTATTGGCGAGTAGGAAGATAGCCTCTGGCGAGACGGGAGGAGAGGGCGGACACTGGGAGGTTTATCATATAGCAAGAGGGGACGAAACCCGTCGTGAGGAAACCGATCGGGTTCTAAACCGAGACGGCGATGATGAGCCACAACGCTCCTATGATGATCAGTTTCCTTTTCCCTTTCGGGGTAGAATCGTTGGGTTAGGAGATTGTCGAGCACTGGGTCCCAGCTGAGAAGAAGGAAATGATAGAGAGCCGGTAGATCGGCCGCGTATCACTAGAAGGAATAATATATTGGGAGACAAGAGGAGGAGGGAGGAGAAAGAGGAGGGAGAGGAGAATCAGCCGTGGTCGGCGACCAGAAAGACACCTGGGCTAAAACGAAAGCAGGAAAAGAAAGGGAGGAGTGTGAAAATCAGCCGGATGAGCGACCGATGAACCGGAGAAAAAGAAATGGGAGGAGAAAGAGACGAGACGAGCAGAAGAGGAGAAGAAGAAAAAAAAAATTCACCAAAAAAGCAAGACAGAGAAAGAGGGGGGACGATAGGAAGAGCGACTGGAACTAAGCATGCAAGAAGACGAGGAGCAGCAGCAGCACAAGCAAGCAGTAAGCGAATAGTTGGATGGGGAACAATGGCAAAGTGGATGGAAAATACGCAGTCCAAGAGGAGGAAAAAGGAAATAATGCAAGTAAAAAAAAATAAATTAGAGAAAAATAAATAATAATTAAGAATAAATAAATATACCGAATTAATTAAATCATTACTGTAAGAACAAAATAAAATAAATAAAAACCGACAGAGAACAGACGACAGGCCGGAAAAAGCAAAACTGGAGAGAGAGACCGAGAGAGAAAGAGAGGATCGACCGAGGATCTCCATTACAAACCCTCAAAATGCCTCCCCCACGCGATAACGTGTCGAGGTGAGGGAGGAATTGAGTCAACAATCCAGAAAAAGAGGCATCCCAGGGCCCCATCAGAAAGCTCTGACAGGACGAGCTAATCGAAGCGGATGGTCATGGCATGTCCCACGTCAAGGTCTCCGCAAGCTGGCATTGCTGGAGAAGAGGAGGCCAGAAGGAATGCCACGCCGATCATCCTTAGTTAATGCTCATCTCATCCTTCCATCCACTGGGTCTTCCTGCTGCAGGTCTTTTGGCTAGCAACTTTCATTGCGCTTCCCCGATCGATCGAGCCCAGCAGACTAGAGAGGAGTGCGGTGACAGGTTGAGACTCTACATTATGTGGAACGAAGCTGGGGGAAAAGGGAAAAAGCTGCTGGAGAACTGGAGCCGGTCTAGAGAGGCCGGTGGACTCCATCCCGTTAAGCATCCAAGCTAGTCCAGACGGACCTGTCAGAGCCAGTAAGCCGACCCACGGTACAAGACTCGATAGATCCTCTTTCCGATAGGCTGGGTCGATAGGAGTAGATGGATGGATAGATTGATTGATGGAGAGAGATTGATGGATGGATGGATGGATGGATGGAGAATGGCAAGGACCAGCTATCGTCCATCCTCTTACCGGCGCTCAGGATCCGATCGAGATGCGATCCCAACGGGCGACACAAGGACCCTCTGGACCCATGGATGATGGATTGATAGATAGTAGGAAGAGGAAGAATAGTCCGACAGACTAGACTTCTCGCTAGTAATGGGCTGTATTGACTTCGGCGCAATTATTCTCAGCCATCATCATTCCTCATCATCGTCGTTCTCTTCCTCTTACCCCCCACGGGCAGT